GTAGAAAAAAAATGATGTGTTTGTATTTGCATAATTTATCTATATCGTTAAATAATTCCTTTGGAGATTTAAATTATTTTTATAACCTTGATTATCTTGAGGAAGGAAATAAATATTTGTGTACGTAAAATTTATAGAGAAATTTATATGAAAGATGAAAATATTATTTTATCTGTAATTGTAATCTGTAATAGATTAATGAATATAAAAAATATTGCTTTTCTAAATGAAATTTAAATTATATATATAATTTTTTTTAATTATCATGTATCGAAAAAACTAATTTTTATATTTCATAATAATTCGTTCGATTATTCTAAAGATTATTCCTTAAGAATTTATTTTCACAATACTTTTTCCAACTTCAAACTCATTAGGAAGAACCACATGAATTTTTCTTCTTTTATTATAAATCTTCTTCTTTTTTTTATTATAAATCTTTTCAATAATCAATATACATAATTACTTCATCGCTGTTAAGAATAAGATGAAATTTAATAAATGAGTTATAATTGTATTCATATATCTGTATAATTCGAAACTTGTTAACCCCAAAATATGACAAAGATGGTTATCATTTGAGCAGTGTTCATTGTTTCGCGAATTAATCGACTTAAATACCATAACGAATACAGAATACCTTGATAGCACTTCCACACGCAAAGGATATTTAACGTAATCTCTGGAGAACTAGTTTAAACTAATGTATTTAATGTAATTACCAATTGCACATCTCAAATATCATAAATTAATCTTATCAAGCGTTTACATTCGCAATACGTTTGCTCGCGTTTCCATTTAATGCGACTTAACGCTGTCGAAATTGCGATGATTCCTATGACAAAATTTTGCACAAGATGATACATTAGATTATATTATTATCTCTTCACAGAGATAACCTTATTATCAGTATTTAAAAAATCTTCAAACAATAATTCGAATGAAATTCAATGGGAATATTACATCAGAATTATAAATTGGATGTTTACGAAACCAAACGTATCTATTATAATCAATAAAATTAATTCCTAATCCATCAACCAAATAAAGATCCAATTTAATGATTGTGCTTAAATTCATCTCATGAATTTTACGATTCGAATCGAGTTATAAGAAAAGTAACGCAATATCTTTGAATATATTTCGAAATCCATCGTTTAATCAATTGCGTTATCCTATATTAAATCGTGTCGATGAAAAATGAAGAATACCAATTAAATTTTATTCAAATAAAAATTGTTGAAACACAAGTCACGGGTTGAGAAACACTGAGATAGACCTAGGATGCGAGGAAGAGTAGTTTCACGGCTCGTCGTGTTACGATTGCTGTCGATCCCGAGAATTAGGGAATTAAATCGACCCGTTACCCACCCTCCACGCCCCCTTACACCTGACGTATTTCAAATACGGGCATTGGATAGGAGGGTCGGACGTCTGACGGCAAGTTCACGAACACACAGAGGCTCTGGAGTCGCTGGAGGCGTATAGTTACTTGCCGGCTCGACGGTATTATTGACAGGAGAAGGCCAAGTGTGTAACTTTGTTGGGTTCAGGCTGAGGAGCAGTAGAGATCTCTTGCAGTCTCGAATCGGCAGTGGGGGAGGATCCTTAAACTCTGGCATACCGATGGATAATAATAATCGTTGTATTATTAGATAATTACTAATCCTTTGACGAGAAAGAAGAAATTTTTTGTTTATTTTTTTTTTTTTTTTTTTGC